TTTCTTTCTGAAGATTGGGACAAAAAAACAAATTTTTTTGAGTAAAAACTGTACATTGATGCAAATTTTATATGTTCGCTCCAAAATTTGGGTTCATTTTCAGAAATATTGAAGAATATAAGAAAAAAGGGGGGAAACAAATTTTGGCAAAGATGTGATAAAATGGTAGTAAGGATGAAATCATACCGACAATACATCTTTAATGTTGTTGATAACTCTCAATGGGTACACATTCTTCTAGGCGCAAACAAAGCCTGGCTACACCGGCCCAGCCTTGGGTCCCAAGCAGTCAGCAGAAAATGTCCGTGAATGGACTGAAGAACAACTGTTAGCACAGAAACAAATGAAAGGAGAGATTGGTCTTCAGATGGGTCAAAACAAAGGAGCCTCACAAGCTGGTCAGAACTTTGGATTAGGAAGACAAATCAACTACACAGAGCCACAATAAGTAAGTATTTTAATATTATCTTAATATTTCCCACCAAAATATTTTTCTGAAACAAATATTTATAAAAAATAGAGTGTGTGTCTGTTAATCCTAAGATCAAGGGTTCGATTGACCTCCTTAGTGTGTGTAATTTTAAATGATGGGTTTCTATTGACAATGGGATTGATGAGTGTCGTTCACATCATTGAGTTCACTATTATTACCTCTGGAAAGCTCTAGGACATCTATCTTGAACTTTTGGTTTTGCAAAGTTATCGCATGTGCACTACAAAAAAAGTGCTAGCTGATCGTTTTTTCACCTATTTTGCTTTGCAACAGCTCACTCTGTTGGCAGTTTGATTAAACCTGATTGATTGAATAATTTAGCAAAACAAATTTTGGAGTCATCCATTATCCATTTACCTGTCCACATCGTTAATATGAAATTCTATGAGCCAAGAATCATGGGATATCAACTCTATTAGAAAAATAGCAATAGTATAATCAGATATGCTGCTATTTGAAACTGGAAGTGAATGTACTTTAAATTCTAAAAGTTATATTAATTCATATTTTATTTGGAATCAGTGTACATTTAATAAAAATGCATAGCATATGTTATTGTTGTAAAACCATAGCACCATATTTAACATGATTATACTGGCTCATTACAATCACACTGCAGGGCGGCGGCATCCTATCTACACCGATCTGAAGCATATCCCGCCTAGAGTTTCGACACTTTGTTTGTTTGAAACGTCAAATGTTTCCAAATTGACGATCGGCGCGTATTTTACGCATATAATAAATCATTCTTGTAATTTCTTTACTGAATAATGATAAATAAAACTTAGAAATATTGTAGAATTAAACTAGCCCTAAAATTGTCCTAATCTGCAATTAATTCATGCTGCTAGTTGCTGGTTCGGAAGGCATTCTACATATGTGACTTTATTGCATTTAAGGACGTTCTATTTCAGACTAGTTGTAACCTGAAATTTACGCGGGAAACATCTTTGAACATCAAAAACATAAATAAAGCTATGAAGGAGATAATTGGCAATATGTCATTATTTCCATGAATTATCCAGTCAGCCATTTAAATATTCAATATTCATCATTCAGTGCATGTTGAAATTAATTTTACATAAGTGTTGTATTAGTTGCTTGGGATATATGATGACTAGTAGATTAAAACATGAATATGTAAAGATGTAAATTGAAACATGTATTAATTATTTTCATTTTTAATTTCTTTTTCTTTTACTTTCAGGTATGAACAACATCCCTATTACCGTAAAGGTGGACAACAGACAAACATATTATTCTCAAGTACCTTTCAAAATTGCATGTCATTGTCATGGAAACAAAATGTATAACTAAATTACATAGGATTTTATTATGAGATAAAAAAAACATGAATGAATATTTAGTGCCAAACTAACGATAAAGAAATGATTGTTCAGTCATCTGCATTGTTTCGTCTTTGCATTTTTTTTGGCTCTTCAGCCAACCTATCATTAGACTTATGACCATAGAGGGCGCTGTTATGCTTATAGCCTGCTCTTTATTTTGACGACTTCTTCAATAACTTAGTCTGTATAAATTCCAACAAAATGACATTTTGAAAGCGAGAACATTTTTACGAACATTTTTACAGTCCAAGATAGATTTATTTGGCAATCCAAGAGGAACATAGACAATGCTTTTATAAAATTGGCAGT